CATCACAAGTTTATTCATGCAGGTCCATATGACAGAGAATATGCATCTTCTGTTTGTTTTCATAGTTTAATTTATATTTAATTGTGTTGTGTTTGCAGTGTTTTGTGTTGTTTCACTTTAAATTTGTTTAAAAGGGAAAAGCTGAAAATTTAAATAGTTAAAAGTTGAAATGTGAATAGTTGGTTTTTGTATTATATGATTTATTACATTTTATGTGGAGAGAATAAATAAAAGTATATTTACGGTACCCTAGAGACAAAGCACGTACAAACTCCAAAACACAACAGAAGTGCTCCAGGATGCTAGGGGGCAGTGTTGAGCTTTTGTTACCTCGTGGCTGCATAAATACAGGCCATTTACCATTTGTGTATAAATACACAAACAATACACACATGCTTTCAATTGTGTAATTTAAGTGATCTAGGTAGTGTCGGGAAATCAGTTTCACCCCGGTTCTTTTTATTCCTCAGGCTTCCAGAGATGCACCGGACTCAGTAGTCATTTCACAAAACCTTTATTCATCTCATTTAAGCATGCATCTTCTAGAAGGGAAGACTTGCCAGGCCGGTGCCCCTCTGCAAAATCTTCACTCCTTTGTCTGTGAAACACAGTTTTGTAGGAGCGACTGTATCATACAACCCCCACGGTGTGCTGCAAACTCTGTGTCTGTGCCTATGTGCACGAGCACGTGAATGCCTGTGTGTGCGCGTACCCGTGTGTCTATGTGAGTGCACGTGAGTGAATGGGCGTGTGTGCGTAACAGTTAAAGCACTATGTGCGTAGGGCTGCTCGATTATGGCAAAAATGATAATCACGATTATTTTCACTGAAATTGAGATCGCGATTATTTGACGATATTTATTTAACCCTTTAAGACCTACTATAGAACCAAGTCCGCCAGAGCTTATATTATTTTTTTTACATGTTGTAGTGCCGTTTGTGGGAGCATTTCAATTTGCTATACAACTGTTATAGCCCATATTTTAATAATATGTATGCATTAAGTCCATAGTAACTACATTAATTGCAAAAAAGTGCAATAAACTACAAAAAAAATTGAAAATCGTTTTTGTTTTTTGGTTTTAACATATATTTCTACTTGGAGAAATTTAAGAGGTTTATCCCTCAAAACTTTAAATACAAAAAAAAGTTGCAAAAAATTGTTTACAACAACAGGAAATTTATTTTGAGTGTGTTCATAGTTTTATTTTGGAGATACACCAATTTTTATATACTGCAGGAAAAACGAAAAAACAATCCTATGATGCAAATTTGCAAAGAAAACAGCAGGTGCATCAAAATAAACTATTTCCAGCAGTGCAATTTGAGTTCTAAGCATCCCAGCAACTATTCAGAAAGGTCAAACATGACCAGTACAGGCTTTTAAGGCCTACAAGTAAAAAACTACAATTTCCGCGAAAATGACGCCACTTCCGGTTTCGGCCAGGAAATGGCGGACATGCGACAACGTCTGTTTCACTGTGTGAAGTGTTAAGAACAGCTGATCGGATCGGCAAAGCGTGTTTCTGGAATATTATGTTTTTGTTCCTGCAAGAGCTTTTTATGCAGTTTTTGCAAAGCTATATGTGGAAGGAAACTGTGACCGAGAGCTGATGGCATCAGATGTAAGTACAACTCCTCCGGTTTCATATGCAAAACAAATTATTGTGCTAGCTTACACGGTTCAGGTTCTACAGGGATTTTAAAAATAGTTACACAACACGGAGCGTGCTGCTCTGACCGGCTTTAAAGGGTTAACAATGACTTTAAAAAATAATATAACATAGTGTGCAACACCACTGAAGTTTTTTTACCTCTCTTTTCAACCAACAGCAGTCACTCTCCTCTCCAAATAACTCCTGCTTAGCTTTCCGAGCTTCCCTCGGGTCCTCTTAATCAGCGGTCTCCAACCTTTTTTGCGCCACGGACGGTTTATGCCCGACAATATTTTCACAGACCGGCCTTTAAGGTGTCGCGGATAAATGAGGGAGGGGCTAATAATCGGCTCAGTCATTTTTAATGATCGTTGAAAGCCCAGATCGTAATCGTGATTAAAATTCGATTAATTGAGCAGCCCTATATGTGCGTATATCTCTATGTACGCGCCTTCCTGAGGGTCATAAAAGTCCATCTCCCTTCCAAACCGAAGTTATTCAGTTACAAACTTTGAGACTCCCACCCAGGCATGCCCTGAGGAACTTCCACTCAACATTAACCTCTCTTTGTCTCACTTTCACAGTTCAAACTAGGGGAGGGTCTCCTAGAAATCTACTCCTAAGTTTATGACACACTCAGGCCTTAATTACATCCAGGGCAGTGTCAGAGTCTCTACAATAATTCTACATCCTGTCTAACACATTTCTAAACTCTAAATTAGGCTACGCATATCTTCAGTAGCTGTTTTGAAGTTCAGTTAACGCTAGAAACGTGTTTTGTCTCTAGGGGCCACCGTGTATATTTTTATATAAACATATATTAATAAAACCACTTTTTCTTTTACATTAGTAATTCCTTTTGTGCATAATTTTATATTATTGTTAATAATAAATAAATTAAAGCAACAAAACAACCTGAAGAGCCGAAACCCCATCACTACTGTGTAGGTCAGGGGTCGGCAACCCTGGGCACGCGCTCACTTTGCGCCAGAAACAGGAAACCAGCGGATGTCACGGTAAACAACAGCAGCACGTTTAAGCTTGATCAGCTGTTGTTAGAATGTATTTAATATTACTTTCTAGTATCAGCTGATGTTTGCTGGAGCCACAGCTGTAAAGCTGCTGGTCATGATGGTTTGGATATGTGGTGAGAGGGAAACATGAAGATGAAACCAGGAGATGTCCTTACTGGATCATCAGAGCTGAACAGGTGATGGAGAAACAGGTTTACCTTTTAGGTGACATGGATGAGTTGAAGTTATGAACTGTTTCTGAGAGACAAATAACACCAGCATCCTTTTCTAAGCAGCTGACAGCTGGTAACTGTGCAGGGGCGGGTCTAGCAAAGTGTTGCCAGGGGGGCATGTAGGGCATTAACAGGGAGAGGGGGGCACAAAGAAATACTTTCTTATTCTCATTTAAAATATTTAGCTTTTATTAAATAATTTTCTAAATCTTACAACCAAAGTTTTTATCTGACGTAAAATGTATAGAAATCATACATATACCAACAAGACTGTACATCACTGTCACAGTAGCGTCTGTTTACATTGTTGTGAGGAGACCATAAACAGCATTTGTATTTTCTGTTGTACACTTCATTTGCTGTTATGGATAAAAAGTCTTTTTTTGTTTCAAAATAGCTGATTACTATTCGCTGACAGCTGCCAACATCTGTGAACACATATAAGTGTGTAACTGTTATATTATTTATTGCTAATGCAAACATACGGCACATTGACTTCTGAGGAAATTTTAGACAGCACTCATCATCAAAAAGGTTGCCGACCCCTGGTGTAGGTGGATGGTAGACATCGTAACGGCCAGGTAACACGTGAGACTGTAAGTCGCCGTCACGAGGGCACACCTGCATGTTTGCACGTGTACACGTTCCAACCTTATTTCCACCATGGGTCTTCTTGTCGATGAAAGTGCTCCCTCATTATAACGCAGATTTTTTTTTGTGCAATTTTTCTTTTTTCTTTTTTTACAGCACATTGTGTTCTGCGTCCTGATTGGCTGTAGACCATTGTCAATCAATCTCATGCCGTGTCTCCTGTACAGTGCAGAGTGCGTTCAGCTTGTCAAATTTACATCAATCTTAGACCCTAGCAGTGCTGCACTGTATGTGTGTAAGTTTCCTCCCAAAGAAACGCAACAATGTTTGGTTTCATCCTATAATTCTGGACTTATTTTTCTACAAAGGTTTGAACTTTGAGAGTTTAAACGAGAGAAAAGTGAAAACGTTCATGCGTGTCTGAGTGTGTAAAGCATGCCGTGACGGGTTTTACAGCCTTAAAACATCCATAATGACTGTAAAAAATAAAGTTCATGGGTTTCACCTGTCGCGGGTTATTTTTAGAACATAACTCCCGCGATAAACGAGCGACCGCTACATATTGATGGATGGCGCGGGGCCGGCACTGTGTCCTCACATCGAGAAAGTCGTGGGTTTGAATCCGCCCGGGTACTCGGGCTTGCTCCCACAGTGGGGTTAGCCTAATTAGCTGCCTGCCTGTGTTAGACCTGTCCAGGTGTTCTCTGCCCCTCGCCCCCTTGTGTGTTGGGTTAGGCTCCACCCCCCTCGACCTTGTGCTGAATAAGCAAGACGGGATTCTTCTTACTGTCCAACCAACCAGAGCTACGCTGTATTGCAAACACAGCTCCCGTAGGAACATTTTCTTTCAGTCGCCAGTGAAGTCGGGAATGCTGGATGCAGCCGCTGTCACCTGCTCTTGTGCCCGGGATGTTTGATTGGGTCTGAGCCACATCACACGATCGTTTCAGCTCTGCCAGCCTCATGAGCTGTTTCTGAAATGAGCCAGAATGGACAGAAATCAGAGCCTGAATAGATTGCCTCTATTACAGCTCCAGTCATCTGCTTTAATTGAGTCCAATCTGGGAGTTCCTGCTCCCCTCACTGCCAAATCCTTTTTCCAGCAGATGGGGGGTGATGGAGGCATCGCAGACAGCAGGCCACGTGATGAAGCGGGTCAACGGGAGGCGCCCCATCAGGGAGCGCTGGCTGACGCTCGTTAGCGCTTGAAAAGCTCGTCAGTGTAATTTTGTGTTCTGTTGTTTTTGTTGTGTTGTTGGAATTGCAGGTTCAAAGTGAACGAGCGCTTTTTGTTCCAGGAGCGTCATTTTCCAAAATGCACAGCTGTCAGTGTGAAGGTGTTTCAGAGTGTGCTGTGATTGGCAGACGATCATTATCACAAATCGCCGTCCACGGCAGGAAGCTGTATCCTACCCTTTACAGGCTGTAGATGAAGCACGAGAGCAGGCGGAGACCCGACGTTCCCGGTCAGGAATGCCGTGGTCATGTGATCTGTGTGTGTGTTTCAGGGTCGTAAGCCGGGCTACTTCTCCTTCCTGGACCCGTTCTCTCCGGCTGTCTGGCTCTTCATGCTTTTGGCTTACCTCGCCGTCAGCTGCGTCCTCTTCCTCGCAGCCAGGTAAGACACCTGTCTGTGCGTCAGCGTCCTAATTTTACCTGCAGCATGTGTCTGCGTTTCAGGAACAGTTTTCTAAGGTGGGCCATAAATCGCTGACGCGCTCTGCACGCCATCCAGGACTTTGTATCGAAACTTTATTTACAGTCGCAGCTTCAGACGCTCAGCTCTGCTTGAGCTGACAGAGACAAACCAAGCATTCAGCCACAGCACACAAAAAGTCATTTTATCATAAAGTCGTGATTTGATGATGTCATCAGCTGCTTAGTGATGACATCATAACGAGCTGCACTTCAGAGTAAAAGCATGAAGAGAACAGCTTTAATCTGTGTTTAACTGTAATATGTGAGCAGAGAGTAGGAGGGGCACGCCTCTTCATCTGCTCCGTAACACACATGTTCAATCAGCCAATCACGTGGCAGCGCTCAGGGCGTTCATGCAGGTAGACACGGTGACGATGACCTCAGATCATCTCTGGTTTCTGATCTCAGTCCAGCAGAGCAGCTCTGGAGAAATGTGTGATGATGTCATGATGATGTCATGTCAACATGGACCAAAATCAAGGAAAAAGGGGGTCTAATGAGGACAGGCCAGGTGTACCTAATGAAGTGTCCGCTGTCATTATTTCTGCCTGGGCTGATTTACAGTCTTCGCCTCACCTTGTGCAGGTGAGAGGCGAGTCAAAGCCGCGTCACGCAGCAGGAAGCGTGGCAGTGACCAACCCGGCGTAACCGGAGGGTGTCCCGTTTCTGTTGAAGATCGACATAGAGTAAAAATATGATGTAACATTAATGGAAGGCTAATGCTAAAATGACTCCACGCAACAGTCGTGCGCTCCAGCTGAGCGTCTAAACACAGTCACCTCGTCGTTTCCTTTCAGGTGTCGAGCGTGACGTTCGTCTCTCTCGCCTTTTTTCTTTTGTTTTCTCACCGCATCGCTTTGACAGAGCAGAGCTGCCCCGCTGCGTAGGTTTAAGGGCTCCATAAGTGCAGGCAGCTGACCGTGAAATGTTAGCCGCGTGTCTGAGGCTAAAGCTACTCTGGGTTTTAATGTTTCGTCCTCTCTCCCCAGACTCAGTCCCTACGAATGGTACAACCCTCATCCGTGTTTGCGGGAGCGGCGGGACATCCTGGAGAACCAGTACACGCTGGGGAACAGCCTGTGGTTCCCAGTGGGCGGCTTCATGCAGCAGGGCTCCGAGATCATGCCGCGGGCGCTGTCCACACGCTGCGTCAGCGGAGTCTGGTTGGTACCAGCTTATGTTTCAGTCACGCTTTCCAAATGTGCACGAACATCTTCAGACAGACGAACTTCATGTGAAACACGAGGTCATTTACATTACAAGGTCGTTTATAAATAATGGAGGACAGCGAGGACGACCGTTCCTGAGCGGAAGACGGCGTCACGCGGTGTCACGCTCAGAGAAATCACCACCGCAGCCCATCAGGCTGCAGCACGTTTCGCCTGCTCTGGTCACGCTGTGTTATCGGTACAGCAGTGGTCGATTCAGGAAGTGCCCCCAAACATGTTCATATGAAACTCCACCCCCTGTGTGCTGCTGCAAACCAGGGTGGGTGTGGGGAGGAGGTCGGGGTGGATGGATGCCACAGAGACACAGTGAGGTGAGCGCTGCATTCAGGGGTGGGCAACTCCAGGCCTCGAGGGCCGGTGTCCTGCAGGTTTAGATCAAATGATGAGTTCGTTACCAGAACTCTGGAGCCCCCCCGACTCGCCCTCACCCCCCGCCCCCTCTGACTCGCCCCCACCCCCCGCCCCCTCTGTCTCGCCCTCACCCCCCCTCTCTCTCTGACTCGCCCTCACCCCCCGCCCCCTCTGACTCGCCCTCACCCCCCTCTCTCTCTCTGACTCGCCCTCACCCCCCGCCCCCTCTGACTCGCCCTCACCCCCTCTCTCTCTCTCTGACTCGCCCTCACCCCTCTCTCGCTCTCTGACTCGCCCTCACCCCCCGCCCCCTCTGACTCGCCCTCACCCCCTCTCTCTCTCTCTGACTCGCCCTCACCCCCCCCCCTGACTCGCCCTCACCCCCCCCCTCTGACTCGCCCTCACCCCGCCCCCTCTGACTCGCCCTCACCCCTCTCTCTCTCTCTGACTCGCCCTCACCCCCCCCCTCTGACTCGCCCTCACCCCGCCCCCTCTGACTCGCCCTCACACCCCGCCCCCTCTGACTCGCCCTCACCCCCTCTCTCTCTCTCTGACTCGCCCTCACCCCGCCCCCTCTGACTCGCCCTCACACCCCGCCCCCTCTGACTCGCCCTCACCCCCTCTCTCTCTCTCTGACTCGCCCTCACCCCCCCCCCCCTGACTCCCCCTCACACCCCGCCCCCTCTGACTCGCCCTCACCCCCCCCCTCTGACTCGCCCTCACCCCCCGCCCCCTCTGTCTCGCCCTCTCTCTCTCTCTGACTCGCCCTCACCCCCCGCCCCTCTGACTCGCCCTCACCCCCCGCCCCCTCTGTCTCGCCCTCACACCCCGCCCCCTCTGACTCGCCCTCACACCCCGCCCCCTCTGACTCGCCCTCACCCCCTCTCTCTCTCTCTGACTCGCCCTCACCCCCCCCCCCTCTGACTCCCCCTCACACCCCGCCCCCTCTGACTCGCCCTCACCCCGCCCCCTCTGACTCGCCCTCACCCCCTGCCCCCCCCCTCTGACTCGCCCTCACACCCCGCCCCTCTGACTCGCCCTCACCCCCTCTCTCTCTCTCTGACTCGCCCTCACCCCCCCCCCTGACTCCCCCTCACACCCCGCCCCCTCTGACTCGGCCTCACCCCCCCCCTCTGACTCGCCCTCACCCCCCCCCCCCCTGACTCCCCCTCACACCCCGCCCCCTCTGACTCGCCCTCACCCCCCCCCTCTGACTCGCCCTCACCCCCCGCCCCCTCTGTCTCGCCCTCTCTCTCTCTCTGACTCGCCCTCACCCCCCGCCCCCTCTGACTCGCCCTCACCCCCCGCCCCCTCTGTCTCGCCCTCACACCCCGCCCCCTCTGACTCGCCCTCACACCCCGCCCCCTCTGACTCGCCCTCACCCCCTCTCTCTCTCTCTGACTCCCCCTCACCCCCCCCCCTCTGACTCCCCCTCACACCCCGCCCCCTCTGACTCGCCCTCACCCCGCCCCCTCTGACTCGCCCTCACCCCCTGCCCCCCCCCTCTGACTCGCCCTCACACCCCGCCCCCTCTGACTCGCCCTCACCCCCGCCCCCTCTGTCTCGCCCTCTCTCTCTCTCTGACTCGCCCTCACCCCCCGCCCCCTCTGACTCGCCCTCACCCCCCGCCCCCTCTGTCTCGCCCTCACACCCCGCCCCTCTGACTCGCCCTCACCCCCCGCCCCCTCTGACTCGCCCTCATGCCCTCTCTCTCTCTCTGACTCGCCCTCACACCCCGCCCCCTCTGACTCGCCCTCATGCCCTCTCTCTCTCTCTGACTCGCCCTCACCCCCCGCCCCCTCTGACTCGCCCTCACCCCCCGCCCCCTCTGTCTCGCCCTCTCTCTCTCTCTGACTCGCCCTCACCCCCCGCCCCCTCTGACTCGCCCTCACCCCCCCGCCCCCTCTGACTCGCCCTCACCCCCCGCCCCCTCTGACTCGCCCTCACACCCCGCCCCCTCTGACTCGCCCTCACCCCCCTCTCTCTCTCTGACTCGCCCTCACCCCCCCGCCCCCTCTGACTCGCCCTCACCCCCCGCCCCCTCTGTCTCGCCCTCCTTTCACTGCTGTTTAATCGTTTCAGCCTTTCTGTTTATTTAAACTTTAAATAAACCAAAAATATAGAAAATATAATTTTTCAAATTCATTGATTTTGTAAGTTGAAACTAACCTTCCTGATTCCTTTGTAAGTAAGTGCTCTAAGCTCACATTAGATAAGAGTGAGTGTTGGTGTAGGGTGGAGGTTGGGTGGAGGATTCTTCGCTGTGGTTTAGCTGCAGGTTTGGTTCTTTTATTTTCTGTGCAGAGAAACGTTTCTATATTCACGTGGTCTCGTTATCAGGATAATGAAATGATTGTTCCATCTTGTGAGATCATATGTTTTAGCTGTAAGTGTAGCAGTCATATGTACAGTGAGGTGCAGGTGGTGCTGATGGAGGTGCAGCTTGTCAGAATAAAGCAGGTGAGCCAACCTGTAACCGTCTGACTACAAAATCAAAATGTGTGTCGTTACTTTGCCAGAAACATTTTGTGTTGTGAGCTTTTTTTCTGTGTAGAACCGAGTATTTCTGCACTGCTGCATCTGTACTTTGACCAAATCAAAGTATGTCAGTACTTCCCCACCCCTGACTCTCCCTCAGTCCCAGTAGCTGCAGTCAGACAGATGGTGGAGTGATACTGGAGGGACTGGAGAGGCCATCAGCATCTTTCCTCTCACAGCTCTCAGCCTCGTCTGGCACTTAGCCTTAGAAAGACTCACGAGTGGCTCGCTGCGCTGTTCACGCTGCATATTCAGGCAGAGTGGAAGCAAAGAGGCCGTCAGAGGGAGGTTAGCTTAAACGCGATCACGTTTGTAGTTTCCCTCTCGCAGCGTCTAAAAATCTCAGATTCCTCAGGACGCGGGGTCATTTCCTGCAGCTCCTGCTGTGCACCCATCACGGCGTTCTGCTCACCCATCACGGCGTTCTGCTCACCCATCACGGCGTTCTGCTGCAAACGCTGAAGCGCACATGCAGCTCCTCGCTGGGCTGAACTCTTTTCTGACTCAGTTCATATAACCTCAAACCTTTATAAAGCCATGGTCCTTTTACCCAGCGTGCTCGGGGAGCTGCCTTGCTGATGTGTGGTGACCAACACAGAGTTGGCGGCGTAGCTCTGGCGTTTCCCCTGAAACTCGGCTCATCTTTTAAGAAACATTTCTTTGTGTGTTTTCTTTTTTTGTAAATGGAAACGAGATCCGTCGCAGTCGTGGGTCTCGTCTCCGCTGACACCACAGAGTGTGTCTTCCACTTCCCGCAGCGCTCTGTGCAAACACAGCACATTAGAAGTAATCACGGCCTCGAGCCAATCACCAGAGCCCGAGTCTGTTTTCCTGTATTTGCTGGGCTGCTTTTCATTTAGTTTCTGCTCTGCTTCATCCTTCCTCTCTGCCTCCTCTTTAATTCTCTCCCCCCTCCCTAATTCCCTTGCTCATCACTTCCGCCTCATTTCCTCTGCAGCAGAGGCATCCTGCTCGTCTCTGCTGCAGCTCGAGTTCATGTTTAGGTTGATGATTTTTACCTAAAACTCCTGACGTTTCCTGCAGTGCCCTCCATCTGTCTCTCTGCTGCGTTTTCCTCTCTCAGCTCTTAATGAAGATAGGCGAGGGGGAAGAGTGGGGCTGTGCTGCAGGGTAAAAACATAAAGGTCTTCGTCTCTCCTCCCTCAGGTGGGCTTTCACCCTCATCATCATCTCGTCCTACACGGCCAACCTGGCAGCATTTCTCACGGTCCAGAGGATGGAGGCGCCCATCGAGTCTCCGGACGATCTGGCGGACCAGACCAACATCCAGTACGGCACCATCCACGGAGGCTCCACCATGACCTTCTTCATGGTGAGATTATTTTTTAATCCAGCCATCCCATACGGTCATCTCAGGCACACAGAGGCGGTCTCAGGGATTCTACTTCCTGTTAATCTCACTGCATGACAGTGCGCTGCAGTCCAGCCTGGGGTGCAGCATCGGTGAACAGATTTTAATGGAGATAAATGGCAAGAATCATTTTTTACACCTGCAGGAAAATCCAGATTTGACATTAGTTTGTCCGAACAGCAACGGCAGCATTGATAACAAGTCTTCAGTGTTTCTCAGTCAGGCAGCTTTTAAAACTGCAGCTTTCTGCTGATGCAGGCTGATTGTTCAGGCAAGTCTGTAGGACAGCACGCGCTCCAAACTCCCACAGACGTTAGTGAGATGCCCAACAGGAGGCTGCAGGGGTTAGAAGCAGCAGCTGGTTGAAGGTGAAGAAAATCACAAATGGAGGATGCTGTAAAGCGGCCTGAGGTGCTGTGACGTCGTGAGTGCTCACAGAAAAGAGGTTTCACTACAATCTAAACCTGTCTATGCCGACTGTGTCCACCTCTGCTTTAAAAACATGATGGAAATTTACGTTTCGTTCTGCAACTGTGAAGAACGCGTCGTGACAAAACATGAGCTCATGTTGGATTTGATGGCAGCAACAAAAGGTTGGAAAAGTCAGAAACTGCATGTACAAACAGAATCATGTTCCTCACTGTGAACATGTCATCATCTACATGAGGTCATCAGCACGCAGGGACGAGGCCGATAACTGCGAGCTTCAGCAGCGCTGCATTAAAGGATCAGTGCACGGCTCAGGAACGCTCCCAGAAACCAGCGTCTGCCTGCAGGTTAAAGCTGCATCACCCAGAGAAGAAGCCACGTGTGGCCACGATGGAGAAACAGCCCCAGTTTACACACTGATGTTAATGATGCGCATGGAAACATGGACCTGTCCAACTTTTAGAGACGTGTTGATGGCATCACATTCAAAATGAGCTCAGATTTTTATTGACATGCTTCATTTTTTTATTCTCTGTGTTTTGTTCTCAATAAAATATGAATTCATGAGATCTGCACACTTATAGAGCCTCCAAGCTTGTACATTGGGCGTTCTCTATTATATATAATAGTAAATTATTAAAGATGAGCAAAATAATGGATGAGTACTGCCCTGTATGCAAAGGCCTCGATGTCAGCTGTTATTTGAATGTCAGTAAATCCATTTGCAGACCGACCAGCAGCAGTTTCCATTCACATATGAGAATTTTCAGAATCACAAAAAGATTAAATACTGGAAGTAACGACCCGTAAGTGTAGAGACACAGATCCTGTGTTTGATCCTGGGATGATGTAACCAGTAATAACACGACCAGATTATTCATAATTAAAAATGCTCCCAAAGTCCAGTTCAGCACACGGCTACGCCACCTGTCAGTCACAGAGGCCACGCCCCTAACCATGCAAACTTTCAGTCTTGTATTCTTTCAGTAAGTGTTGGTTTATTTCTCCCGTGCACTCAGAAACATTGACGTGGGTGTTTATGGGCATGGACCCACTGTCGGAGGCTGCCTCGAGTGGCCATTAGAAGAAGTGCAGATGTTTCACTGAACTGATGGTAAGCTCTCAGCAGAGCACCAAACACCAGCTGTTTGAGGCAACTATCGATCCTTTTAAAGAAGTGAAATATATATTTTAAGGTGTTTTTAAAGATTTGTCCTCAGCAGGAACCAGTGGACTCGAGCCAGACTGCTCTTAGTGAGACACAGGATATAAGTGCATTTACCACAGAAACAACCAAATCAAATAAAAACAGTAGGCTTATGCTGTAAGCGCACATCGTGAGGTACAAACACAGACCATAGAACACGTTCAGACACTACAACTGTCCTTTCACCTTCTCTTCCTGCAGAACTCGCGGTACCAGACGTACCAGCGGATGTGGAACTACATGTACTCCAAGCAGCCCAGCGTGTTCGTGAAGAGCACAGAAGAGGGCATCGCCCGCGTGCTCAACTCCAAGTACGCCTTTCTGATGGAGAGCACCATGAACGAGTACTACCGCAGCCTCAACTGCAACCTCACGCAGATCGGAGGACTGCTGGACACCAAAGGATACGGCATCGGCATGCCTCTGGGTGAGGAGAGGGGAGGGGCTAACCGCGTACCACAAGCCAAGGTAGACTGCCCCCTGCTGCTGAGTGCTGGTGTTAAATAACTTGGGATCACTCTGTTCTGCTGTTAGCGAGGTCTCTGACAGCTCAGGTGATCCTGGTTAACGCACGGTTAGCAGAGTTAGTGGAGAGAAGGAGGAACAGATGTTGACAGTGACAGAAAGACACGAGCAGCTTTCAGGAGAGCCGCCGTCACTCGTCGGCCTGTTAACACATGAGCATGGAGGCGGCGGCGTTTACTTTACATGCAGGAGAATCACAACACAGGAGTTTGTTTAATTTTTACGTTCCCTCTCTCAAAGTTTAAGGTGGAGTTTTCTAATGGCCGACACCAAGAGTTTGGCTGTACGGCAGGAGCTGTCGGCCAAAACGACACACGGCAAAAAGCTGACAAAGAGTTTGTAGCACAGCGACGAGCTGATCGCACTAAAAGAATCAGGAGTAAGGAAAGGGCCATCTGCCCTTTGATCTATCGATTAAGGGTGAGGGGAGGCGGATGGGACAGATTATATAAATTATATCTGATATGATTTAAATATTTAATAGCGAATTTTAAACATTGATCATTGGTTTGGGCGAGAGAAACAAACCCTTTGATCCTGTAATATATATATATATATATATATATATATATATATATATATATACAAAAAAAAAAACACCCAGCACGCCCCTGCGGGCGGTTTATCCTTCAAGCTCGGGTCCTCTACCAGAGGCCTGGGAGCTTGAGGGTCCTGCGCAGTATCTTAGCTGTTCCCAGGACTGCGCTCTTCTGGACAGAGATTTCCGATGTTGTTCCCGGGATCTGCTGGAGCCACTCGCCTAGCTTGGGAGTCACCGCACCTAGTGCTCCGATTACCACGGGGACCACCGTTACCTTCACCCTCCACATCCTCTCGAGCTCTTCTCTGAGCCCTTGGTATTTCTCCAGCTTCTCGTGTTCCTTCTTCCTGATATTGCTGTCATTCGGAACCGCTACATCGATCACTACGGCCGTCTTCTTCTGTTTGTCTACCACCACTATGTCCGGTTGGTTAGCCACCACCATTTTGTCCGTCTGTATCTGGAAGTCCCACAGGATCTTAGCTCGGTCATTCTCCACCACCCTTGGGGGCATCTCCCATTTTGACCTCGGGACTTCTAGGTTATACTCGGCACAGATGTTCCTGTACACTATGCCGGCCACTTGGTTATGGCGTTCCATGTATGCCTTGCCTGCTAGCATCTTGCACCCTGCTGTTATGTGCTGGATTGTCTCTGGGGCATCTTTACACAGCCTGCACCTGGGGTCTTGCCTTGTGTGATAGACCCCAGCCTCTATTCTTGGATGTTCCTTGTCTCATCCTGGACTGTGGTGCTGACACTCACCAGTCCCCGGCCCCCTTCCTTCCGCTTAGCGTACAGCCTCAGGGTGCTGGACTTGGGGTGAAACTCTCCATGCATGGTCAGGAGCTTTCTTGTCTTTATGTCAGTGGCTTCTATCTCCTCCTTTGACCAGCCTATTACCCCAGCAGGGTACCTGATCACGGGCAGGGCGTATGTGTTGATGGCCCGAATCTTGTTCTTACCATTCAGCTGACTCCTCAGGACTTGCCTGACCCTCTGCAGGTACTTGGTGGTTGCAGCCTTTCTAGCGGCCTCTTCATGGTTCCCATTTGCCTGCGGGATCCCCAGGTACTTGTAACTGTCCTCTATGTCTGCAATGTTGCCTTCTGGTAGTTCAATCCCCTCAGTTCTGACTACCTTCCCTCTCTTTGTTACCATCCGACTACACTTCTCCAGTCCGAACGACATTCCAATGTCATTGCTGTATAGCCTGGTGTATATATATATATATATATATATATATATATATATATATATTACAGCTTGAACTCTGGGTCAAAGATTCAAGTTGCAGTTATTTATATTTCCTGTCACCTTAAATCTTCACTCACAGACAAGTATCTTTGACAGTGCATATATAGGTGTATTATATAGAAAAGACAAATATTGTTTGTTTAATATGTTGGCATTACTAAATTTGGCTCAATGCTTACATACATGTGTAAAAAGAAAACTTATGAGCTGTGGTAACTGTGTCTGATAGAATGAAGAGTCGACTGATATATGAAATATTCCTTTATTGGGTGAGAAAATCAGACCATGTCATAACTGCTGTAAGTCACACAGAATAGATATCAGAGCCTTAAACAGGCTGACTTCTGCTAAATGGGTCAAACTGGGCAGAAAGTCTACAAACACATAACATCCTTATAGAATATGATGTAACACTATAGATCAACTTAGCTCAGAATATATAAAGCATATAAACAGTTACAGCAACATGATGCAACACACACAGCAGCTACTGATCCAAAATACTCAAAGCTTCATAGAACTGAAACCAACATTTATTTTAGCTCCATTCTGCTGCTGATACAGACTTTAGGTTTCTGAACATTAAACTTGTTGCTGCCTTTCATAGTGTGTAACTTGAAGGCCCTGAGTACCCTGAGTACTTTCTCTCACACTGGAAACACTGGGATGATCACATTATTTGAACATTACCTAATAAGACTGATTCAGCACAGACAGTTATGTTAAACTTTCCTAGCAGTCCTTCACAAACAGGGAACAGTCTGTCTATTCTCTCCATCTGTCAGCTGCTGCTGGCTCTTCCTCCTCCTCTTCCTCACACACTGCTGAGTTTGTCCTGGTGGATCATCAGGGGTGCAAAGCCTCACAGACGATGTGCAGCAGTGGGTCCCTCAGTCTGTCCTCACTCTGGACACTTGCAGTCGTCACACATGGAAATCAAATGTGTGATAAGCTGCAGGATTCAAACACAAGTGTAACTTATAAACACATGTTCATACTTTTATTCCACAATCAGAGAGAAAGAAACAGAGAGAGAGTGCAGGACAGACAGACAGGTGGCAGTCTCAGGTGTACACACTGCTACACAACAGCACAGAGAAGCAGGATTTAGTGTTTGTGTTATTACGAGTGTAAACAAGAAGAGTTCCAGATGGTGCAGTGGACACATGTGTGACTGCTGTGATTAAAGCATCTTTCTTTCAGCTTAACGAGTGAACCGTCAGCTCGTTCAAACACACGTTAAAGTGCGTTTGGCTCGACACCACCGAACAGAGGCAGCAATATAACATAGCTCACATTAACAGTGCAGTGAATCCTGCTTGTGCCGTGATGTTCAGGAAACCGAGCAGCATCACTGACTTTCAGCTTGTTGTGTTTGTGGATATATGACTGACTTTAATTATCCACAAAATCATCAGATTCTCTGTGAGATTAAGGTCGACTATTGAACGGCGCATATTTAAAGGCTTTAAAACCAAGTTAACGCTGGAAGTACAAACATCACTAACGTCACATAACGTGACATGTGGCCAACAGCAATTGTTTAATGTTCTTCAAGTGACATCGTATTCAGTACTTACTTTTGACAGTTCACTCTTCGGCCGCTCCCTTCTGCCGTCTTTTGGAGCAAAATTATCCACACCCACCGCCGCACTATGAATTGTGGGATATATGGGACCAAGTGTGCACCGGACCACGCTTGATATTTGGGGAAATCGTCGGCGCATTTGGAGTACACTTCGAATTGGGACAGCCGTCGTCGTGTGGCGGTGACGTAATCGCACTCAAAATGCGTACTTCAAGCGTGCGGTCTCTTAATTGGGACACAGCCCAGTTCTGTCTCTGAGTGGATTTTGTTTAGGCGGGGTACTGCTGACACTCTACTGTGGATTGACTAACATACAGAAGCCTCTACTGCCATCCAGTGGTCAAAAATTACACTGCTGTAGAACTGGGCTGCTGTAGTTTAAAAACAGATTAACATGTGTCAATGCAGCTGTTTATTGTTGTTATTAAATTATTGCCTTTTGTTTGATGATGAAAACAAACAATCTCTTGCCTCAGGGCAGGTTTAAAGTGTCAGATGAACCATGACACAGTTAAATGTGACCGGATTGGTGAGCTCCACACCCACAGTCTGTGGATTTCGATTGAATCTGCCCCTGCTGTTTGCCCGGGAGACCCTAGAGGAGCAAAATGCTGTGGCGGGGTGACTGCAGGGCTCGGTCGGGTTCCCCCGTCACCACGACAAGTAACAGAGCAAATACATTAGCAGCTGATCAGGTTATTTTACAGCAGGTCCATCACATGATCCAGTATAAAACAAGTATCTCAGAGACGGCTTAGAGTTTCACCAACCTGCAAAAAACTGCAGGAGGATCAGAGCAAATGCGTAGAGCACCGAGCTGAAAAACAAAGTAGTGAGAGCTGTCAAAGAGGCTGTGTCCATCTTGTGTTTACAGCATATGCTTTGCCTATTGTCCCTAAAGCCAATCAAAGCCACCTCTGCTGACCCACGGCTGCAGAAACAGCAGAAGTGACGGTGTGGAGGGTTCAGTTAGTGTGTGTCTGCTGATAAGTGTCAGCCTGCAAGCTGTCAATAAATCTTTACTGAGGATTGAACGTGAGTCTGTTCAGTAAACAACCTGCAGTCTGGAGAGATTAGGGGATTACATCGTGCTGCAGGGTCCCGTCCAGAGCTCCGGTGTCGCCGCCCGCTGCCTCCAACACATCTGGAGCTCCGGTGGAAACGAGACTGCGGACAGCAGCGGCGATTTGTATAAAAGGTGCAACTGCTCGCGTTGTCGTTGTGTCGCTGTTTATGAGAACATGTTAAAAACCCCGCAGAGCGCGCCGCCGCCTCCACATCAGCACGTTTACCTGATAACAGGTGAGCAGGTGAGCTCCGCCATTAGCACCAGCCCTCTGTTTTCATTCACAGCCCACCTAAGATTGGATTTGTCTCGCTGCCTTTGAAAGAGGAACACCAGCCGGCAGCTCGTCTTCAAAGCCAGTTTAGTGCATCAGGACGCCGCGACACCGAGTGCAGCTATGTGCAGCCTGGTTGGTTCCCACAGACGTGAAACAGAAATCCACAGACGCTGAAAGTTGTGCAGAACGATGACCCCGTCTTGTGTGGTCATGCAAACATGATTCGATAAACAAGATAAACCCATAAAAAGTTTCATCCATCCACAGGCTCTTCTGATCATCTGTGCAGGCTCTGAAAGTTCACCAGTGCAGGACAGTGTTAGACATCACACGCCTGGAAGCTGAAAGTGGACTCAGGGCCACAGCTGGTGTGTGTGTCAGGCAGACAGAGGCTTAGATCAGTCTCGGGTTGGTGGTTTGATCCAAGGTTTAGCTCACGTTTATCCAGCATCAGATTGGATGAGCTCAGTCTGAGTCTGCTCACAAACACGCCTGTTGGCGGTCGTCCGATTGTTTCTGGTGGTGCCTCAAAGCACCGAGGTGACCGTTGGTAGGATTTGATGCTATATAAATAAAACTGCAGTGAACTGTACGTCTGTGATGGCATACAGGCTGTGTCCAGGAGTGCATCTGAAGGAAACTACTTCCTGTTCGGAAGTACAATACAATACAGTTTTATTTATATAGCACATTTAAAATCCCGAAGGCTTCGCAGTAATACGGAGAAACAACATAAGTCAATAACAGAGTACAGATCGGGCACTAACAGACAGGATGGAGGCATTAATAGAACAGAAGAGTTAAATAAAATAGGCATCAAACCTCAACACAGAGGGAAGGTCAATCGTGAGTGCGAAATATCTACGAAGATAAAAACTGCAGTGAAATTAATGATAAAATAATACATTTAATAAAAAGTGTAAAAAGGGTGTTAACTGGTCAGGACAGCCAGGTTAAATAAGTATGCTTTCAATCTTGATTTAAAGGACTGGATAGAGTCCGAGGCTCAAATAGAAGCAGGGAGGCTGCAAAGGTTGGGTGCAGCTGAAGCAAAGGGTCGCCTCTGGTCTTCAGTCTAAACTTAGGTTGGTGATCTTAATGTACGACAAGGAGTGTGCAGCTTGAGGAGTTCAGTGAGGTAACTGGGCGCAATATTATTCAGGATTTTAAAAGTGAGTAGCAAAATGTTAAACTCAATGCGATATTTGATTGGTAATCAGTGTAGATCAACAGGAGCAAATTTTCTAGCTCCAGTCAGAAGCCGAGCCGCAGCATTTTGAACGAGCTGCAGCTTTCAAATAGAGATGGATTGGAGACCACAGTAGAGAGAATTGCAATAGTCTAACCTGGACGTCACAAAAGAGTGGATAAGAAATATTGTATTTTTCAAATATGGAGCCCAACGGTTCCCAAAGTGAGAAAAGGTGGACATGCACCCTAAAACCAGAACAGGATTCAACACAAGAGAGTGTGAAGCCTTCAGTAATAAAACTTTTCCACTAAAATGATTAAGAAATTGCTCACAGAGAGCCTGAGAGGCCGAGCTCGACGATCCAGGACAGGGATTTATCACGGAGTTAAACATTTTGAATAACATTCGGGGGTTGTGGCTGTTAGTCTCAGTAATATCTGACAGGAAAGCTGCTTGAGCTGCCTCAACAGAGTTCTGGTCTAGAGAGCGACTCCTACAAAGGATGTCGTAGGACATCTGAAGCCTACCTTTCTTCCACCTCCTTTCAGATCGATGGCAGACACATCGTAAGGCTCATATAGTGTCATTTAGCCCAGGTTGAGTAGCTTCATGTGTGTCTTTAGATGCTGAATATGACTTCTGCTCCTCGTCAGGCTCTCCGTATAGAGACGAGATCACTCTGGGAATACTGCAGCTGCAGGAGAGCAACAGGCTGGAGATCCTGAAGAGACGCTGGTGGGAGGGAGGACAGTGCCCCAAAGAGGAGGACCACAGGGCCAAAGGTCAGTGTCATCGTAGCGTGATCATTTAACGTAAAAACATCATTTCCTGTTTCTGTTTGATGGAAAGATTCCTGCCTAGGACACAACCGTGCTCCTCGCTCATGTCAGTGAAGCCTTACCGCGATGACACGTAAACAGGAAGTTTTTATCGGGCGTCTCCTTTCCTGTGCCGCCTGTCTTTTCCTCATTGATATAACAAAATAACAAATGACTTTGTCCTCCGCCTTCGCTGTTATTGTGTATTTGTCTCCTCATTCTGAGGCGTCTCACGCCAACAACTCCACATTTTATGCCATCAAACAGGTTAAATGGCATAAAATATCGGTTGTTTTAAGCCTGGCCCGTTGTTGCTGATGGAGAGCACGCTGTGTTTGGAAACAGTCCTCAGGCTGGTAGACCGGTGTAGGTGAATCGATCTGTGATGTGTCCATTGCTGCGTTTCAGGGCTCGGCATGGAGAACATCGGCGGGATCTTTGTGGTTCTGATTTGCGGCCTCATCATTGCCGTCTTTGTGGCCATCATGGAGTTTGTGTGGTCGACACGCCGCACCGCCGAGACGGACGAGGTACACCATCGCACACACACACACACTTACAGATTACACTGGGCAGACGTGAGCACTGCAGAGCATCTGTACACTGATACAAACGTGCTCCACAAGGTCAAGTTTATTTATGCTGCACATTTCCAGTCAGTGCTGCGCAAAGAGCTTAACAATGTAAAATACCACTAAAACAAATAAAATGTAAAACAATGATGCAGTAAAATATAGAAAAAAAAAGAGTCAATAAAAACAACTAAAACAACAACTAAGGCTGTTAAAACCAAAATGTTAAAGTGGTTAAAGCCAGACCATAAAATGTGTCTTCAGTAGCGAGTTAAATTGATCAAGTGTTTGTGCACATCTAATATTTAAGGGAAGACTATTCCAAAGTCCTGGACCTGCCACAGAGAAGGCTCTGTCACGATGAGAAGCTTAGTCCGTGGATAACTTGGTTTTAACTGGACCTCATGGTTTTCTCTGGAGCATAAAGGGGCTCAGCCAATAAGCACCTTAAAAACAAAAAGTACGACTTTAAATTGGATCCTGTAAGGAACAGGGAGCCAGTGTGGAGACGCTAAAACTGGGGTTACATGCTCCTAACGTTTAGTGCCAGTTAGCAGACGAGCGGCTGCATTTTGGACCAGCTGGAGACATAAAGAGAGGCCTGGTCCAGACCAAAGTACAAAGAATTGCAGTAGTTCAGTCTGCACGTAACAAAGAGAAGGTGCAGCTCCAGGGCCACTGCTTCCTTTATTCCCAGCAGCTGATAGACAGCCTCCATCAGAGCGTGAAGGGTGTAGCTGGGGTTTGGGGGACCTCCATCAGAGTGTGAAGGGTGTAGCTGGGGTTTGGGGGCCTCCATCAGAGTGTGAAGGGTGTAGCTGGGGTTTGGGGGACCTCCATCAGAGTGTGAAGGGTCTAGCTGGGGTTTGGGGGACCTCCATCAGAGTGTGAAGGGTGTAGCTGGGGTTTGGGGGACCTCCATCAAAGTGTGAAGGGTGTATCTGGGGTTTGGGGGACCTCCATCAGAGTGTGAAGGGTGTAGCTGGGGTTTGGGGGCCTCCATCAGAGTGTGAAGGGTGTAGCTGGAGTTTGGGGGACCTCCATCAGAATGTGAAGGGTGTAGCTGGAGTTTGGGGGACCTCCATCAGAATGTGAAGGGTGTAGCTGGAGTTTGGGGGCCTCCATCAGAGTGTGAAGGGTGTAGCTGAGTGCCTTTGCTCTCTCTCTCAGGTTTCCGTCTGTCAGGAGATGCTGACGGAGTTCCGTAATGCCGTATCCTGTAAGAAGAATTCTAGATCCCGTCGGCGCCGACCCCTGACCAGCACTGGGGGCGGAGTCCTACGTCACCCATCCCGCCTGACTCTGGCCGGTCCCCGCCCCATCCGCCTGATTCGAGAGATGCGTCTCAGCAACGGGAAACTGTACAGTGGCGCCGGCCCAATGACGGGCGGGTTGGCAGGGGTCGGGATGGGAGGATGCCCCGATCTGGGCCCGGGGCCACAGAGGCTCCTGGAGGACCCGCTGGGCACCAAAACCTCTACCACCACCCCCCCTCCTGCGTCAGCCCTAGTGGCTCCGCCCGCCCCCCCGCGCAGCTTCCTGCAGGCCTGCAGTCACGTACGCATCTGCCAGGAGTGCCGGCGGATCCAGAGCCTGCGACCGGCCGCGCTTACCCCACCCCCTCCGCCCTCCTCGTCCTCCTCCGCCTCCTCCTGCTCCCGGGTCCCGCCCTCAGTGGCGATGACAGGCCTTCACCCCCGTCACAGCGCTCACCATCATCTCCATTATCACCACGGCTCCATGTCGCTGCCCCGCCTTCCGCCGCCCCCTCCCCCGATGCCGACGGACAGAGCTGACAGCGACGGGGGCGTGGCAAGCCCGCAGCGGTACAAAAACAAACCTGTGCCCCCGCCCCGGCCGCTGCCCCCCAACAAGACCCCGACACACCCACCGACAGACTTACTCAGCGGACACGACTGAGCCTAAGGATGCTGTCTGTGGGGTCAAAGGTCACAAACACATTGACCCCAAAGCTGTACTGGTCTAAACTGGCTCTCCAGCAGGGGTCAAAGGAGGAAACCATTCTGACCCGTTTGTGGGGGTCATCCATTAAAGCAAAGACACGTCAGTGGACTGCACCAAACCTTTACGGGGGTGAGCGGATTGACCCGCTCTGGGGATGGAGGACTACTCACGGACTTTTTACCTTTTGGATTAAAGCAGACAAACAGGAAGTGACTGTCTGAGGCCGACCCACCCTCAGCCAATCGTCTCACTCCATGCCGAGCAACGAGGACTCAGACAGACTGAGGTTTGATACTGATCCAGGTGTTTGTATAGACGAAACGCTACAGATACACACACTCACACAAAGTGGAGAAGAAGAAAAACTAAGTCTGTGATTGTATTTCCTGTCCTGTTGTCCAATCAGAGGAGCTTCTCCTCCTCCTCGTCCCGATCCTGAAGCTGATGTCACAGCGATCTGATCGCCGAGTTGTCTCATTTCTAAAGGTCACCTGTCAGCTGCCGGCGGCGCTGAGCTCCATCGCTGAATAATTTGGACCTGCTGTACAAAAAAACAACCTGTTGACTTTTTCCCTTTTTTACTATGAAATGAACGAACAGCTGCTGCAGTTGTTACACACATCTGTATTTGTTTTATCATTTAATCATTTTATTTGTATTTTATAACATCATTTTTATATTTATATTTTATTTTATTTTTGTTATCATTTTTTTCCTTTTTATAAAAAAGAAAATATAAAGTTACAATTACAAAATATATAATTATAGTTTGTTGACATGCAGGAAGTGAAGCAGCAGCTGAAGAGAAAGAGTGCGTGTGTGTGCGTGTGTGTGCGTGTGTGCGTGTGTGTGCGTGTGTGTGCGTGTGTGTGTGCGTGTGTGTGCGTGTGCGTGCGTGTGCGTGTGTGTGCGTGTGTGTGTGCGTGTGTGTGTGCGTGTGAGTGTGTGCGTGTGCGTGTGCGTGTGTGTGCGTGCGTGTGTGTGCGTGTGTGCGTGTGTGTGTGTGTTTCCTGATGTTTTCTCCTCAGATCAGCAGGACATTATTGATTCTCTTGTTGTCATTATTATTATTATTGATATTGACTTGTGGGGTGACTGTAGGAGGGGTGCCGCCCTCTGATGTTCAATATATAGACTCATGTTTGGAATAAATAAATAAAAAACTGAAAGGTGTGTTGAGGTGCCCCGGGTGGAGGAGGTGAAGGTGGGGTTGGGCTGCTGGTCACGGAGCAGCACACAGGGTTTGTTTTGTTGTTTGATTCCCAGTATTCCATGTTTTTGTGATCAGCTGTTCATTCAGAACTCGAGGGATGGGGAATTCGTTTAACGCCGGTTAGGAATGTCCTGTGGACGCGTACATCAAGTGTAACAGCAGCCACGGATGCAGCGTGAGCCGGGTGGACGAGGTTGAGTTCCTGGTGTCTTTCTTTCAGCTTTAACTCTAATCCTGCATTTTTATTTTATTTGTGCACGTTCTCCATCAAAGCCAGAACCCAGCAGAGAGCGTTTACATCCAGCCACGTTGCCACGACAACAGCAGGTTAGTGACTGTGAGCAGAAATGAGCCCCGTCACATGTGATGGGACAGAAATCACCTCTGACATCATTCATGAGGACACCTGCAGGGATGCTGCAGTAACAGAGGGCAGCCAGCAGAGGGCGGTGCAGACTAAGGAAAGCCACAGCTGAGGCAGGCGTGTTCACATCAGCAGGTAAGAATGTGGAAGTTGGAGCGAGTCGTTCCTTAATGTGACATTTATTTATTTATTTGTTTCACACATGGTTCAACAGTATTTCATTCCCTACATACAAATCCTCCTCCCCATTAATATAGCGCTGCACCCATGAGTGAAAAGCAGCAAACGCAGCTCTGTGTCCTTTAAAAATAATCGTTAGGATGGATTTAAAGTGATCCTGACCTGTTCCTATCAATGATAATGATTCTTCATTCAAAAATAAGGTGTGATGCACAAACAGTGTAGGAAATTCTGAATGAAAGGCAGTTCAGCTGGTTGTGCTTCAGAGTAGACGTCATGACTGGGTTATCTCTGGAGGTTATGAGGTTTTCCTCAAAAGATAATTCAGATGATGAAGTTCATTAAAAGAACTGAAACTTCTGCTCTTTAGCTGTGTGTGATGCAAACGGGTCTTTATTTAACCCCGAGTGGCCTCGGCAGGAGGAAAGAGTCCAGCTTTAGAGGACGCTGCAGAAGTCTGATGGACGTGCTTACTGAAAGGTCTTTTTCTTGTAATACATGCACTGACTCTCCGTCTGACACAAGCCGTCCACACAACAATAATAAAGACTGAAACAAAGAGAAACCAAAGTCAGACTGACTGTGGAAACTCACTGACACTAAACTGACTTAAGATCAAGTTTATTTCTAAAATCCACAAAGACAGTAAACTGTTTACAGCACTTTTCTTCATCTTCTCCATCACGCTGCCTGTGAGCACTGTCATCAAACTCACCTGAATCAGTGAGAATGAGGACTTCCAGCGTAGCAGCTGCTAACATGTTGGGGAGTTTTAAAGCCTGCGTAAGCTACCAGGTGTACCTAATGAAATGGCAGATGCATGTTAACTTGACAGCTATGGATGAAAATGTACCTGAACTTCCCTCCACCAGGCTGATGTTAGTGAGAAACATGATGGAGTGATCACAGCCGTGGGAACAGGGTCATAAATAAAACCATGTGACCATGTGATCAGCTGTGACTGGAGCTTTTTGATGGCGGCCCGCTGTAGCGTGGTGTCGTGACAGCGAGCCGGGCTTGGACAGTTGCGTTTTTCAGTGAGGAGAGAAGCCGTTAACCCGAGGAGGCGCTCGGCCATGTTCACGCCTTCCTCCTCCTCCTCCTCTCCTGTGGGTTTGTGTACCTGTGTGAGGGAATCAGATGGCGCTGCTGGGAACAGGATGCACGATGCTGACTCGCAGGTTTCAGCAGAAAATGTTGCACAAACAAATTTTCCAAAGAGCAGGAAGTGACATCAGCAGGCTGCTCCTGTGAGTGCCTCCTCCTGCTGGTCGACGCCCACGGCTCGTTCACTTACAGTCACTGGTTTCTTTAATAGCAACATGACAGGTTACGGCGTGGAGGACGTGAGTCACAGACGTTTGTGTTTGACAGCAATAATAAAATGTTTCGCTGCGTCCTCTGCAGTGAAAACCACCAGACAAGCATGATGTCATCTGTCATTTTTTATTTTGGGCTCCTGGAGGCTGATATGGCAACAATAATACAAATATAATTATTAATAATAAGGCTCGAGCCGCGGGTCCCGGACTCGAGCTCGGGCTGTACGGCTGAGAGCGGCCGGCCCGGGCTCGAGTCCGCCGTCTTTACCGCACGTCTCTCTGCTCCTGACACTTCTTCACTGCATCTGTGAATAAAGCTAAGAACAGAAAACATCTCCGCCTGCAGATTCAGCGTTCTCGGTGGCGCTTTAATAGAAACGGTCTCAGACACATAAATATCTGAACACATTTCTGTCCTGAGAGGTCAAACACACCAAAGCACAGGTTTGATATCTGTCTCTTAGAGCGTCGCAGGTTTCCTCTTCACGATGAAGATGATGATCTACTGAAACTGCTGCAAACAGTGAAACAATCCAAACACAGCTGCCTGCAGGTCAAAGGTCAGCCCGCTGCGCTGTGGTGCGGTCACAGTTGGTACTTTTTTATCACACACGTGTACTTCTACTTCACTGAAGAGTATATGTACTTCTGCACCACGTGTCATGTGACCCACGCAGGGTGTGGCTTAGTTCCAGTTCAGCTGAATCCTCTCGTATCGGCTCTTCACACAGCCGTGACCACAGCTCCTCTTCATGTGTGATCATCTGATCACAAACGCGATGCGCAGACGTCTGTCGACGTTCGGAGCTGCAGATCTGAGATATTGTCAAAACTGACAAAATGAAAATTTGCTATCAGATTTGAATCCAGCACCAAAACCATCACAAACATCTGACTGACAGCAGCTTCATGTTTCAGCACGGCAACGATCCAAACACGCCGCCAGCGCAGGGAAGCACGCCTGGACAGAAACACACGGGGGAACTATCAGAGCCTCAGCATCACTGAAGCTTCATCCTGACAGCGAACACGCCGGCGTCCTTCAGGAAGCCCGGAGAACTGTTCCCGAGGATCCTCACAGAGCTCACACTGAGCTCCAGATTAAAATATTCAAACTCTGTTTTTAACTAAATACACATGAATGTCTGAATAAATCTCTGCACGTATTTCATACTTTACTGCAAAACAGAAAGAAATGAGGGGCAGATGAAGACTTTTGCACAGCACTGTACTAGAAGGAACCAGAAGGAACCCAGGAAGATGAAAGCGTGGTGAGCAGGAGACCTTTGATGACACGAGCTTTGAAGGTTTTCTGCAGAATTATGAAGAAACAGATCAAAGGTCCGACTCTGCATTTCACGTTAAATTGGTGCAGTTTACTGAACATGACACACATGCTGGCTTTAGATTGCGACACTGTCAGATTCAAAGGATGTGACAATGACTGTAAAAGGCAATAAATCAGTGACACGCCCCCTCAGGCTGTCAGTCGGTGATTAATCACACGCATCATTTCCTCAAATATGCAAATGCAGACGTCACATGATGCAACACTGCTTCCAGAAATAAATGTGGTGTAATGATTCTGTAAGTTCGCCTTTTTCAGGAGAAGCTGGTGGGAGTCATGACAAGAGCAGGTGAAAGGTCACGATGAATGTGGTGTGCACGCAGCTGTGAAGCTAAAGATGGAGTGCACATTAAAGGCACTGGGCCTCACTCCGTCTGCTGCAGCCGCTCAGCGATGCTGCGGCGCTGGGATGGCACATGTTTGCTTAGAGAGACCAGTTTGTTTCCCCAGAGGAGAAACTGGGACTGCTGTGGAGGCCAGCAGCAATAACCTGAGCTCAGGCTCATATTAATCTGCTGCTTCGAAGAATAATTCTGACCTCAGTTCAGGAGATGAGGCTTGGTGACGTTTTATTAGGTGCAGATGATGATGTGGTAACTTTCATATTTTCATTTCTTTGATGAGGGGACACGTTCTCAGATGATAAATCATAAGCATGAGTTCATATCTCAAGTCTGAAGCTGCAGACATGGATGTAAATGTCCCTGCGCAGCATCCAAAGCCTACGGATTCTCTTCACCTCCACCTTTGGTGGGAGACGCCCCTCCCGGCTGCTGCAGTCAAATACAACAGGGAAACATGGCGGCTCCTCAAACGGCAGACCCGCTCCTCAGCATTTTTAGTAAACGATAACTTTAATTATAGGATGTTTATTCATGAGTACAATATCTTTTTTCTATAAACTCAACTAATTATTAAGGGTACCTTTAAACAGCTATCTGCTCTCAGAAGGAAATCCAACAGCAGCCGCCTTCACAGCCAGTGACTTTCAGAAAGATCGTCAAAGCAGGATTTAAAAATTAGGGGTGGCTCAAGACTTTTGCACAGTATTTTCTGTCAAGTTAAATGACTCTTGTGTTTACATGTTCTAATAATTAGCGTATCCAGCAGTTGAAGGTCTTCAGATTGGTTTTACTCACCTGGACAATCACCTGTCTGCGGTAGAGCTTCATCACGTGTAGGCCGGTGTTTCCTCCACATCTGTAGGTTGTTATGGAGAGAAATGATTTATTGATACACAGAATTTAGATAGAGGTTAGACTCCGATGGCCCGCCT